GTAGGCCCACTGATCAGCTGATCGGCGGGCCCATAGGCAGAATGGGAAGGCCATAGGAAGAGAGGGAAGGTTCGCCTTCCCTCGCTTCGTATGGGGGGAGAAATAAAAATGGACAAATATTCATCCCTTCATATTTATCGGGGTCTCTGGAACTCATACGAAGGGATGAATATTTAACGAATCACAATTCGTTTTTTTAATCATCCCCATGTCTAGTGTGGATACACAGGTCACCACTCAAAGAACCTTAGTTACATAAGTAACCAAGTCTCTTCCAAAACAATGCAAATATGAAATGAGCTTTGCAGTTCTCCAGCATTTTTCCTCAGGCATGATGTAATAAAACTAGGGGGTGGGGAAGACAGAATTTTTTTAAAAAATCTGACTTAAGTGTATTGTTACTCACTGGGTGTGCCTCTGTAACTCCAACATGTAAAATGCAGACTCGGTGAAGGAAAAATGTGTTTACCTAGCAAGTTACAACTTGCAGTAATGCACAATACTTGTGTCCCTCCATTCCCTGCCAGCCAGTGGGGTTGCTGAGTCTAGAGCAGCTGCCCATTGACTTTTTAAAGCTCACAGGCTTTCTTTATGGAAGTAGAGCAAAAGATTAATGGTGCTGGCTCTATTTGATTCCCTCCCCCACAGGATTTCCTTCCACCCACAAGTCTTTTGCTCAACATCCCTTGTATTTAAACAACACTGGATTCAGTGAAAGATCTCAATTTTTAGTTTGTAGGTGTCGGATCTTTGTTGTGTTGAGTATCATGTCTGTGCTACTTGAAGGTGTGTAAACAAATTGGAGAGTGAGCGTGAGCAGATGTAATCTCATTGTGAGTAGCTTATATGCATTAGGTGAGAGCAGTACTTAAGATGGTTTCTTTGTGAATCTTTTACCACTTAAAATATAATTGTATGAAAAGTGTCTGTAGGCTGTGGAAAATGTTCCAAGTTCATTGCATTTTTCAGCTTAGAATTTTGTGGAAAAAATATTTCATTTTCTCTCTCTGTTGCCACAGAAGAAAAGGTCAATTCAGATAGGTGAAAGGCTTAGCGAAAATGAGTTTTCCCCGTGGGACTGCAATCTGGCAAAAGGCTAGGGATTTCAAAATTAGAATAGTGGTGTTAAAACTTTGTGATTTAGTCAGTTTTAGCCTCTGGCATAAGCTTGGGAATAACTTCATTATTAAAATAATATCTTATAGTTAGGCAATCAGACTTATTAGCAATATAGTTCTTGCTTATGGTAAAAATTGAGTATTTATTAATTATAAGCATTTTAGAGGATTCTTTTAAAGCCTCAGTATCTGAATATATGCAATTTGCAGAAAGTTTGTCTTCTGCAGGATGTTTGGGGTTTTTGTGGAGCACTTTTATTTGTTCCATTTTCATTGAAACTAGCTTTTAGAATTCTGTGCAAGATGGTCTCTGTATGTAAAGAGAGCCTCGTGGCGCAGTGGTTAAACCGCTGTACTGCAGCTAAAACTATGCTCATGACCTGGGGTTCAAACCCAGGTAGCCGGCTCAAGGTTGACTCAGCCTTCTATCCTTCCGAGGTCGGTAAAATGAGTACCCAGCTCACTGGGGAGGCAGTGTGTAGCCTGCATAATTAAATTGTAAACCGCCCAGAGAATGCTTGAAGCACTATGGGGTGGCATATAAGCAGCACGCTTCGCTTTTTAAAAAAAATGTGATTGACTCTTAAATTTTCCTGCACGTTTAAAGAAACGTACAGTTCCTTTAGGGGTGAGTAAGGGGGAAACTGGTTTTAGATAAGTATAAAGAAAATATGGTTGTTGTAGATTTTTTGGGCTGTCTGGCCGTGTTCTTGATTTTCTAAAGAAAACACTTTATTATGAATTAAACAGTGCATACTTGCAGAAGATTTAAATAGGTTTCAAGATGGATCAATCATTAATGTTGTATAGAAAAGTATAATTTTCAATTGCTTTCTTGACCTGTCACTAAAAATTGATAGGAGAATAAGCATATCTTGTCATAAAAAGAAAACCCAAGAATTGTGCAAATAAAATTTAATTTCCCATTGTAATGTAACAGTGTTAATGTGGACTTCAAAAATCCTTAGTAAATCTGACAAATTATGTGACCTAGTAAGTGGCTCATTTTGCCTACTCCTTGGGCCTGAAGAGTTTCACACTATGAGTTTCCCCATGGACCTTGGAGAAGCAGAACCCAGTGAGCTAATCCTGGGGGAACCAGATAGAGTCCAAATATAGATGGCAGGAGGAGGGCATTGGAACAGGGGTCTTGGAGGGGGAAGCTCGCATAGGCAACCCCTGGAGGAAAAGTGGGCCCTGGATCTGAGACAGTATCAGGAGAGCCCTGGAACAGATGAGTTATTTGGGACTAGGAAGAAAGAAGGAGACTGCAGAGTACAGTGTACAAATAGGAAGCCTCCTTCCCAGAATATTGGTTGAGGAGGATCTTGATGGAGGGTCTTTGGGGGATGTACTAGAAGACCCTAGCGAAGACTACCAAAGAGAGAGACAGTCCCAGAGGAACTTGAACCTCCTGGAGACTGGGAATACTTATATAAAGAGGAAACCTAGATGAAGTCCTGGTCCAGTTCTGGGTCTTTTGAGAGGAGATTGATTGCCACCTTAAATCTCTCCTGCTTGCCTTGCCTCTCATACTGAAGAGAGAGGCAGCATAGAGGTAAGAAAGACTTGGCTTGGAGGAACCGACAGCCACTCAACAGAGACACTGGCGAAGGCAGTGGCAAAGAGCATGCCAGGCTCAGGAGAAAGTGCACCAGTTCCACAGCCCTTAATTTAGACATACAGTATCATCTGTCCTAGCTGCTGTTCCCCTGACTTGGTTTGCCAGGGCCTTCCAGTTGAAGGGAATTGGATTACACTCCCTTCCAGTGATAACTGGGAGAAAGAAGGACTTTGACTTTGCTACAGAAATTTGGGCAGTTTGGGAACTAGCCTGGGCACAGTTGAAGGCAGTTCTGTTGCACTTCTCTATTGAAATAAACCTTGTTTGATTCAGCTCTTTGTGTCATTGTCTGTGGATCAAGGGATGGAGAAGGAAGTCATGGACAACTGGCCCAGCCTGGCAGGGCTCATACCTCAGAAGTCTGTACTGAGCCTTAATTTCTTTTGGTTTATTTTTTTTTGTCACACGAAGTGAAACTGTGGATTGTCTCAGGCTGAAATGTTAATTAGTTTGTAATCTAGGAAGGTATAAGATATATATTTTGCTCCATCCTAGACACTCCAATTAAAATGCTAATATCTGCTGCCACACACTTGAGAAGACTTGACTGATGTCATCCCTGGTTTGCAAAATCCTGACTGACTTTTTGCAAGTCCTCACAAACAATGATGATTGGTTCACATCACAAGGTGGATCAGGACTTTTGCTCATTTTTGTAATTTGTGGAGATAGACGTGAGCTGAGAAAGTGTTACATGTGAGAAAGCCTTAATGATGGCAGATTGGCACCTTATGATATGGAACTGTTTTGTTAGATCCATTTATGGAATAATTTTTAAAAGCCCAGTTTTTGAGCTTATTCATGTATTCCTTTCTCCAAGAAGTACAAAAGAAGAAGAATAAGTAGCACCTAGAATAAGCCCATTGAATTACATGCCTATTCTGTTGCAGCTTGCTACTTAATAATAATAGAACTGCGGAACTGGAAGGGACCCTATAGATCATCTAGATATTTATTGAGTCACCTTCTCTGTAAGTTCCATTGATTAAATGGGCTCACTTTAATTACAAATTACTACTGGAATTTAGCTCTTACTACAATTACTCAATCAATTATAGATATGGTTATGTGAGTAAGTAAAAACAAAGTGGCCTTAGGCTAGATGGGTGGTAATCAAATCAAATGAAACAGTAAAATAATATACTGACCCATAGTGCTCAAAGTATTCTCTGGGCAATGTTACGATTTAATTATGCAGACTTAATTACCACCAACACCACCCCCCTGCCACAAGATGGTACTCAATTTACCAACCTTTGAAGGATGGAAGGCTGAATCAACCTTGATCCAGCTATCTGAGCCCATCAGAATCAAACTCAGGTCATGAGCAGGGCTTTGCCTGCACTGCACCCTAAGGCTCCTCCAACTTAGAACAGAAGTAATGTTTTGTAGGTGTGCTGTTAGGCTCATATTTCAGATTTTTAAGAGTAGCCTCATGGTACTAGCTTCATATTTTTAGATATCAGGCTTATGCAGAAGATCAGGTACCCAGGATAATAGGCAGTATTTGGAGTTTTTAAAGTTATGCAAGCATTAAGCAGTACTGGTTTATGTCTTTTTCTTTTTTTAATGAAAGTATGTTTGGTTTACTTTGGATCCTTTCTGACAAACATGGGTGACCCTCAGAAATGGGAAAATGGAAAAACAGAAAAGAGACAAAAACAGTGAAACCACAAGAGATTGGCTGGGGTTTTTGCTCTTAGTCATATATTCCAGATATATAATAATAATTTCAGGCTGAATCTCCCTGTTATAGCTGATTTGGAAAGGAGAGAAACATTTTTAAAAGATTCGTTTATTTGAGCAGTGGATTCAAATGACTCTGGCCTGTGATGGATTGTAACCACACTGTTGCCAGTTGTTTGTTTTTAAGAAAAGTGTGAAGAGAAAGAATGGGGTCAGGAGATGAGGAGAGAAAGAAATAGGTGAATACAAAAAAATCTTCATGTTAAAGATTAGGATTAAACTTTGATAATTTGATTCTTGGTCTGAAAATGTTGAAAATAGCTAACCTCAATTTATTTCTATATGCATATTGCTTTGAGGCTAAAATTTTTGATTTTTCGGTGTTATGCTATTTGTGCTGAACTTATTGCTTTTATAGATAGGTTTTGATTTTTACGCTTACGCTTTATATAGAATTGACTTGATAAAGATGTGCCATATTTACTGTTTAGATAAATGGTAACCTGATAATGAAAGTGATTCACACGTTAAATCCATAGTTTAACCACACAACATTCTCCTTTCCCTTTTAGGAACATCATCCTATTCTCATCAAGGCTATGGCTGTGAATCTAAACTGTATAGCCTTGAGCATGGCCATGAAAAACCCCAAGACAAGAAAAAGAAAAGCTCTGGCCTCGCTACCCTGAAAAAGAAGTTCATTAAGCGCCGAAAATCTAGCCGGTCTGCTGATCATGCCAAGCAGATGCGTGAGCTCCTCTCAGGCTGGGATGTTAGAGATGTCAATGCATTAGTGGAAGAGTATGAGGGAACATCAGCCTTAAAAGAGCTTTCTCTACAAGCTAGTTTGGCAAGGCCTGAAGCTAGGACACTGCAGAAAGACATGGCTGAACTGTATGAGTTTAAATACTGTACAGATGTCGATCTAATATTTCAAGACACTTGTTTCCCTGTACATCGTGCAATTTTGGCTGCAAGGTGTCCATTTTTTAAGACCCTGCTTTCTTCATCTCCAGAATATGGTGCAGAAATTGTAATGGATATCAGCACAGCTGGCATAGACCTGCCCATGTTTTCTGCTTTGTTACACTATCTGTACACAGGGGAATTTGGAATGGAGGACTCAAGATTTCAAAATGTTGACATCCTCATGCAGCTTAGTGAAGAATTTGGAACGCCAAATTCTTTAGATGTTGATATGCGAGGACTGTTGGACTACATGTGTTATTATGATGTAGTTCTCAGCTTTTCATCTGACTCTGAACTGGTTGAAGCTTATGGTGGAAATCAGAGCTGCTTAGATGAAGAGCTGAGAGCGCACAAAGCTATAATTTCATCCCGATCACCATTTTTTCGACATCTGCTTCAGCGGAGGATACGAACTGGCGAAGAGATTACTGATCGAACTCTTAGGACTCCAACAAGGATTATATTGGATGAATCTATCATACCAAAAAAATATGTGAGAGTAATTTTAAACTGTATGTACACAGATTTGGTTGACCTGTCTATTTTGCACAGCAGTCCTTCAGTGGGCAGTTTAAGTGAAGTTCAGGCTCTTGTAGCAGGAAAGTCAAGCATGACGAGAGCTGAAGAAGCTATGGAACTTTATCACATCGCACTCTTTTTGGAGCTTAATATGCTTGCCCAAGGTACTTTTTTTATTTCATTCCTTTCAGAACACTACTTAAATCTGGAGTCAAATGTTAAAGCCCTCTCTGATTTGTTCTGGGCTGTAGTTTCTAATATGTTGAAATCATGTTATAATTTTCTGGCTCTTTCAGTGAAAAAATCTTTTAGGATCATACCATTCTGTGTACAAATGCAGGCAGCTTAATGTCCAATAGACATATGGGGTAAGTAAGAAAGAAAAGTAAAACAAGTAATCCATTTAGAACAAGGGTGGGTAACTTTGGTGGTTTGGGGGGGGCAAATTTTAATTCCAAGCATGCTGTGGGATTATCAAGCACAGAAACGGCCAGTGGCTTGCAAAACAAAACAGGATGTGCATGAGTGACACTTCTAGTCTTGTTTTTTTGTTTTGTTTTGTTTTGTTTTGGAGGTGAGGTGGGGATCTTGAGAAACCCCCAGGAATGGAAATAACAACATACAAAGCTAGGAAGATTTTTTTTAATGGAGTTCTGCTTAGCCTGAGGTGCAGCAAAAATGACCTGAAGGCAGCCTGCACTTCACCCACATTGATTTAGGGCAAGAATTTAGAACCTCTTTCAGCTCAAAGACCAAATTCTTTTTTAGATAAATTTTCAGGGGCCACATTCTGGTGGTGAGCAGGGACAAAAGCAAAAGGTTGAGGCTTAAAACAGGAACAAAGTTCTGCTTTTTAGGGTCAGAAAACTTTGAGAAGCCCTGATCAGTACTACAGTGGACCCTCGACTTACAGACGGCTCAACTTACAGACTTTTCAAGTTACAGACGTCTCTGGCTGCAAAATTTAGGTTCGACTTGCAGCCGGAGAATTGACCTATAGACTGGAAAAAAAACCACAAAATGGAACAAAAATGGCCGGTTGCGGATTAATCAGTTTTCAGTGCATTTTAGGTCAATGGAGCCTTGACCTACAGACTTGTCGACCGGCAGCCACCGTTCCAATACGGATTAATTCCGTAAGTCAAGGGTCCACTGTATCTGGCAGCAAAAGTGCAGAGTTTCAGACAACCCTTCTTGGAGATGCTAGAGTCAGTCTGAGATTTTCTGTATGCTCTGCCAGTCAGTTATCTTCTGGAGTGTCATCTTGTTAAATTAATGTTTCTGTTCTCGAGAGACCTGTTAGAACTATGCCTAGGTATGTGTTGTTGAACAAGAAAAGTGGGTTGTTTTCCACAGTCTGAAAATAGCTTTGGCTTCAGAAAAAGTCCTGATTAGATCTATTCCTTTGCACAGGAAACTACATTTCAAGATGAATAAAGCAAATAAAAAAAAACTGTTGGGATTTTTTTAATTTATAGAAATTGGATCCAAAGGTTCCTTCTACATACACAGAAAGTCATTTTCCCCTTTGTCTAGATAGTTGAAAAAGGAATGTAAATGTGAACTTGCAGTCCCAATCACCTGTACCTTTCAATAAGCTGCACTGACCACAGTCTTGTTTTTGAATGAACTAGCTTAAGATTGCACTCAGTGCAAGGTAGGTAAAGTTCAGTGCATGTTTTCTATCTGTGCAGAAACAGTCCCACTGCCACTTTCTCCTCTACAAATTGTTGTTTGGCTCGCACTTAAATATGTTTTGAATTGGAAATAGAGTCAAGGGAGGAAGGGTTCCTATTTTTTAGATGGAGCCCAATATGAATGGGTGAGGTCAGCTGAAGGCTGGAGTACCCAAAGCAATTTGTCGCAAAGCTTAAATGAAGAACGAACTGTTACACAAGGCACAGAAAGTAAACTCTGAAATCTTTCACCTATCCCCACATGTTTTTGGATACCCATACACTTGTCTCTAAAAAATTCAAAACCAGAACAGTCTTGGTTCGATGTTATCTCCTTTCTAATTCTTTCTGGACAGAATCACATAAAACACACCTTGTTATAGTGAGGAGAAATATCTCTGTAGGAAGCATGCTGTTTTAAGAGTTCATTTAATAGTCCAAGAAGAGATTTTGTAGCACGTGTGCACTGTACTGTTAATTGTTTTGTCATTTTCTGTTCTGGGCTGTACAGCACCTGAGTAAGTTCTTCCAACAGATCTTTGTCAGTTTTAATTCTGGCCAAGGAAGAGAGTATTTTTTGAGTTGGCTCTGCAGCTACAGAGATTTATGTTAATCGTATTACTTGTCTTTCTTATTTGAAGACTTGAATATAGCACTTGGATTAGTAACTATGCTTATCTCTATGAGAGCATGCAGGTTAGAGGTAGTTGGTGCCTGGAAAATCCAATACAAAGATGGCAATCCTATTGCTTTCTGTAGTAAGTTGCATCAGAATCAGGGTGTATTTGGTGAGCTGAGTCCTCCGTAACCTCCATTGATTCAAATGTGCCTACTCTGGTTATGATTTACTTTATCATAATAAATTACATAGTAAATTGTGATTCGGAGGACTTGACTCAGCAAATCATCACTTACTCAGCAGGTCCGCTCTAGTGTATTTTAACTAACAGGATTGTGGCCAATATCTGCTAGGTTAACTCCGGCTTGAAAGTGATCATTCTAAAGTATAAATAGATAGGTAATGACTAAATGTTAGAAGAGCTCGCTTACATCAGAGAGAGGTTTTTGACAGAGAACAGACTGATTTGGGGAAGCCATGGATTCTTCAACATTGGAGGTTTTTAAGCAGAGTTTAGACAGCCGCTTGTCAGGTTGCTTTATTGGTGGATTTCCTGCTTATTTAGGGATCTGGGCTTTATAACACTTGGGATAAGGTCCAGTTCTACAACTTTTTTTCTATGATTCTGTAATTTCTCTGGTATGTTATTAAAGGTGAAGCTAGCATAATAATCTGTTAAATCAGGAGTCCCCAACCCCCGGGCCATAGACCAGTACCAGTCCGTGGCCTTGGAAGGACCAGGCCGCCGGCACAGATGAGTGGCGAGCAGGAAGTTTAGAGCACTCTGCAAGCCGGAGGTGGCGGGAAGCACAATGTTTCCCTTTGCTAAGTGGCCTTTGGTGCCGGCGGCTTCCGAGCAATGAAGAGAGCCGCTGAGGTCTGGGTTTTCCATACCTGCTGGTAGAACTCGGACAGAAGGAATGGGGGAACTCCAGTCCCTGGAGGGGGAGGGTGACGGGATGGAGTTGCCCCAGCCGGGAGACAGGGAGGGGCAACTACCTTGGTGCCCTTTCCCCTTCTCACTGCTGAAGAAGGCGAAGGGGCACCAAGGGAGCCGAGGAGGGAAAGCCTGCCTGGTACGGTTGGGTCCCCAGACGCTCCCGCCCAGGCTCAGCGGAGGTGGTGGCAGCTAGCCACAGACTTTGTACCCGCGGGAGAGCTAACAGCCGGGTGGGCAGATGAGCAAGCTGGCTGCTGGTCCACCCTCTAGTGAGTCTCCCCGAGGGCTGACTTGCTGCATTCCGCCTGGCCAAGGTGCATACTCCTTACGGAAGAGAGGATGGGCTGCTTATAACAGCCTACAGGTGTGGAGCAGGTCCTTGGGAGAACGGTCTTCCACTAAACTGGTCCCTGGTGTCATAAATGTTGGGGACCAGGGTGTTAAATTGTTTCACTTCTGTGCCAGAGCTGCTTTGATCTGAAGTAGACATGACAGTTCTAATCTCTTAACATACCTAGCTGTGATGTGCTATTTCTCATTGCTGATTTTCTTCTTTGCGGTGAACTTCCTCCTCTTTTCTCTTGTTTGCCTCAACTGTGGCACAATCAGTGTTAACTTAAAATGGGCTGTCATGTTGATAGTCTTGGAATAAGCTTTAGCAGGTCTTCCTAAGGAGGAGCCATGGTAGCTCCGGAGTAGATGCAGTCTAAAACTGTCCTATCCCAGCAGGATGTCTTCACCTGGAATGTTAGCATCTCCAGGCAGTGGGGCCGGATTTGATAGAATTGTGGAAATTGTAGAGCCACACATATAAAGAGCACTAGGTTGGAGGTAGGTGAGCTAAACCATGGTTAAGGCAAAGAAGAAGGGGAAAAAAAGGGGGAGGGAATTCCTGCTTAATGGCAATCTGCAGGGTGTTTCAAGTATCAGTTATGGATGAAAGAAATATAGTGATAAGTCTTCACCAAGCTTTTACAGAAACATGCAGGTTTTTAAAACATGCTTGTGAAATCGTTGGGTGAAATTCTCAGTGAATCCCTACTTCTTACAGCATCCTCTCACACAACCATACTGTTATCTGTTTGAGCCAGAATTTGAGAAAGTTTGTGGACTATAGCTCCCAAGAATTCCCCAGCTAGTTGGCCCATACACTGGCTGGGGAATCTGGGAACTGTAGTCCAAAGGCTCCGCTAAAAATAGTCAGGGAGGAACTGGGTGCTTTTAAATATGACCTCATTCTCTGAATTTCCATATGGAGACATTGTGATTTCTTAAAGAAGATTAGGGCTGTTTTTAAAAGAGTGATTGGCTATGCAGATTATGCAAAAGAGCTGACATGATTTCCTTGACATATTGAGGACATATTTGGGAAACTTGGTAGCGGTAAGAGGCTTTTAAACTGACAGACACAGGCATATGTTCTTTTATACGTTGCATTTTAAATTGCAATGCACTAGTATTCCTATACAGTATATCAGTTATCAGCATAGTAGAGTGTGTAAGAAAACCATTGAGTAATTAAAGTGATCAAACTGCCTCAGCTATCTCAAGTTCAAGTTTTGGATGAAAACTAGGATACAAATATAAACAAACAAGTAAATAAATAAATAGAAGTGAAACCATATTATAGTAGTATTAACTTTCCTGTTTCTGGGATCAGCTTGAAGTGTGGGAGTTAATCATTGTGATTTCTTTTCTGATCCTATGGGAATTCCATTGAAGGTTAACTGTAGTGGGAGCCTTGAGGTTAGAATGAGGGCTAGCAGAAATGTTAAGTGTACACTTATGGTGTTTCCAGAATCTACTGAAAATTCCAGTACTCCTCCTGAAAAATGCTAACCTGCTAGCTTGCAGAATATGTTACTTCTGCCTCCTGGCACCATGGTTCTTTAAAAAAAAAGTTACAGGACTTTTTTGTCCTAACACATA